CTGTAAATAATATTCCTAATGGAGATGAAGAAAACTACTGTCTGGAGGGAGTGGGCACTTTGTTTTAGGTAAGACAGCTACAGAAAGGATCTTAGATTTGAATCTAGCAACTATGTTTTTAATTTATGCTTTCTCTACTACACTTACTTTTAATTTCAACTGACAAAATTGTCTGCATTTGTCTTGTTCATACTGAGACTTTAAAATAAGTATATTTTTATAATTGCTGTATTGAATCAATTAATACATAAATTTTCTCGTGTAGTTTTTTGAAATAAAATTTAAAATTTATTCTTTCAGACATTTTTAACTGTAATCACCATGTAGCATAACTGATCTCTTAGATTTTGTCTTCCTTTACAAGCATTATTTGCTTTTCCACTTTAGTGCCTGGTAACTACTGTACCTGGTAACCTGAGTTAAACTTTTTCCTATCATACATATTAATGAGATCATATGGTACCCTTCTTTTTTGTTCCTGACTTGCTCCCTTAAAGATGCAGTATTCTGGGAGTCCATCTATGTTGTAAAAAATGGCAGAATCACATTATCTGTACACTGAAGGGTACCCTTTTGTTTGTATGTCTGGTCTCCTGATGATGGACACTTTGTATATATGTCTAGTCACCTGTGGATACTTTGGTGGATTCAGTTTCTTGGCTTTGTGAATAAAGGTACAGCGACATCAGAAACTCAGTGTTTTCTTCAATACATGGGTATCATTCCCTTTGAATATGTGCTTACATTGGGGTTTCTAGATCATACAGAAGTTCAGTTCTTGTGTCTGAGGTTCCTGCGTACTGTTTTCCATATGGCTGGAATGTTTACTTACATTGGGGCTGCTAGATCATACAGAAGTTCAGATCTTGTGTCTGAGGTTCCTGCATACTGTTTTCCATATGACTGGGACCACTTATATCCCCAGTGACAATAACCAAGTGTTCCTTTTCTTCTACATGCCAACACTTCTTAGCCTTTGCTTCTGATAATAACTGTTTGACATGTATGACATCTCAAGCTTTTTGACTTATACCATACTAGTAATTAAGGAAAATGAGCATTTTCCATATTTCTGTTAGCCCTGTCTTCATCTTCTCTTAATTAATCTTTATTTCCGTGAGTTGTCTATTTTAAATTTGGCCAACTGTTTTCTTGCTTTTGAGTTGTTTGGACTCCTTACACTGTTGGATAAATCATTTATTATTATTAACCTTTTATTTATTATTATTGCCTTTTATGTAATATTATTCTATTAGACAGGCTTTTTCTCTTTTGATTATCTTTTGCCACACAGTTTTTTGCCAGTATACTATTTTTGACAGAGTTTACTATACTCTGTTGTGCCCAGATCACGACCCCCAGAGAGAGACCACCAGAGAGGCCCAGACTGTAATAAGCAAGGTTTAATCAGCATAATACAAACATGTTTGGAACTCATCTCCATCCCCGTTACAACAAGGTAGAGAGGAGTTGTATCTCCTCTGTGGGGTAAGCTTTCAAAGGCATAACTACAAAGAGAATCTTTGAAGATGCTTTGGCATGTGTACAAGGACTTTGCTCCCTCACATTTTGTTAAGTAAACTTTTTTTCTTGTTTTCAGAGAGGCCACTGTTCTTGAGTTAGGCCATCTTTATCAGCCTGTACCAGGTGGCTGGCTGAGTTGAGCTAAGTGACCTTGTGCTCAGAATATCCTGGGTGGGAGAGGGGAAGGCCACTATCTTCCTGGGAAAACATTCTGCTAGGAAATTTCTTCTTGCCCTTTTGAGAATAAGGGGTGAGGGAGGGTCCCACATACTCTGTTTTTTAATCTTTGCTTTTGTTGTCTGTGCTTTTTAAAGTTATATCTAAAAAACAAATATTGCTCAGACCAATGTCAAAGATATATCCTGTGTGTGTTTTACCCTAATGGTTCTGCACTTCCAGGTCCTTCATTTAAGTCTCTGGGTTCACTTGGTGTTGCTTTTTCTATGTAGTGTAAGGCAAGGGTCTCACTTTATTCTCCTGGGTGTACATGTGTCACAAGACCACTTATTGGAAGAAGTGCCTTTTCTCTTCACCTGCTCTTGATGTCTTTGTCAGAGATTTATTCCCTTTGCTCAAGATTGCCTTAGCGATCCAGGGTATATTACTTTCTAAATGGACAATTACTTCTTTTCATTTAATTGGATCTTCAGCAGGTCTGACAGTGCTGATCAATCCCTACCGACAGACGTATTTTATTCTGTGCTCTTTAGTGTTCTTGTTCTATGTGCTTTACCTTGTCCCCACCAGCTGTCCTTAGTCCTGCTGTCTTCCACATCACATATTCACCATTAGTGCTCATTTCCTTTCCCTCATCTCTGTGAGTCACATCCCCACAAAGGGTCTCCTTCAGCTTCTAGTTTTCCATACAACCTAGAGATTTAGGGATCTCGGGGTCGTGTGTGTTTTCAGCCCAACTCTTTCCTCAAAGCTCCACTTGGTGAATAGTCCCCTCAACTATATATAACATGATGGCTGTATTAACCTTGTACTTATCAGGGCCAAAAAAAATCTAATGCTCTTCTCCCTCCTCCTGCCTCCTGTCAACCCTGCCCCCTTTTCAGATACTCCCTATTCGACCATCACTTTTTTCCCCTTTTTTGTTTGTTTTTCTTTTTGGTGATTACTGCATTTTGGTTTTTCAAGAGAGAGTTTCTCTTTGTATACCCTGCTTTCCTGGAACTTGCTCTGTAGACCAAGTTGTCCTCGACCTAGAGATCAGCCTGCCTCCGCTTCGTAAATGCTGGAATTAAAGGCGAGAGCTATTGCCCAGCAGACCACCAGCTTCTGATTTTTCATGATTTAGATCTCCCCTGGAATGTCCCTCCCCCTGCTGGTCTCCCTCAGTTAGTTATGTCCTCAGCTAGTAACCTCTTAGCACCCAGGCTCCTTCAGCAGGGCACTCTCTCCTTCTTCAGCAAGAGAATACACATCCTGTCCAAAGACTTTCCGCTCTTAAAAAAGTAAAGACACAGCTAATCTCTTTATAAGATGTCACACCAGCCCCACATTTCTGACACATTTCCCTCAACTCCTCCCTTGTCCTCCCATGCCCCACCCCCAGCCACCCTGCTCCTATTACCAGCACAGAAGAACACTTTTCAGTTTCAGAAACAGGCCACTGCCTTTCTTTTCTGTGTTTGCTCTCTTTCCCTAGGTTTTCATAAAGGGTGCGCCTTCCTTATATCTTCCTTATAATTCAGCCTGTCATTCAAACTACATCTACTCTACAGAATTTCCTGGACCTTTCAAATGTAGATGTGAGTTCCTCCCCTTCTTGGTTACTCTCAACCACATCTCTGTACTGGATTCCCTTCAAATATTTACTGACTTCGTAATGTACTTGAGTGTTTATTATTTGTTTTCTTCTTGGCAATGTAAGCTCCCCGAGGACAGGAAACGTCTTTGTCCTGTTAATTCATCACGGCTCTAGTGCTCAGAGAAGTTTGGAGTGCGTGGTAGTCCCTCATTGTAACTGTCACCAAGCAACAGTGCAAAAGGCGGTATCAATTGTATATTATAACAGAAACAGGATGTATTTGGGAAGTTAAGAGTGAGTGATTCACACTCAACCAAGAGAAAATTGTAGAGTACAAGAGGGTCAGGCCAGAATTCTGCGTCTTATATATTTTAGCTTCTGTTTAAATACATGCTGTTGACTCAAACAGAGAGAACTTCTTCCACTGACGTCTATGGTGATACAGTTATCTGTGGTGTTGGAGACTGCACCCATTTCCTGGCTGTTCTGAGAAGCACCTGCCACAGTTTCTAGGTCTCACATGGAGGGATAAAAAGTTTTGTTATATAAGATTTTCATCTCCAGGAAAGCTTAAGTGAGTTAACTGCCAATTCCCTTGTTCATCTCTAACAGGCAGGTTGATATAAATGCATGATGCTCTGATCTTATGGGGAGAGGAGGTTCAAAGTTTATAGTATTAAACTATACCCGATTTCCTACCTATCTTAATGTTACATTCAAATGTTTTCTGGAAGCACATTCTTTTAGCTGATGCTTAATTTTGTTTTTAAAAAAGGCTCTTAATCTCAGGAGATGGAACTTTGTGGTCTGTCATTTTGAGGACAATGAGTTAAAGAAGAAATGCGGAGAGAAAGCAATACTGACGTAGACAAACTAGAGTCCTTTCAAGGCATGTCATGAGATCCCAAATTTTCAATCATCCGCAGAGGTCTGTCACCCGTCTTACTTGGAGGTTGGAAAAATGGTTCTGTGAGCTTGGCAGCCGATGAGACTGGCTTTCCAGGTGGCTGGCTTCCAGACGCAATCCATCCACCTTCTGCCTACAGTTGTTGCCATTCGGTGGCAGTTGTCTCCTCAGGCAAAATGGAAAGAGGAATGATTGTGGGTCCGACATTGGCTGAAACTTGTAAGAAAAGGGTGGTTTTTTTTTTTTTTTTGACTCTTCCAATTAGTTTATTTCCAGGGAAACTGGGCAGGATATTCTGAGGCTGCGGTGTTCACACAATGTCACTGCTTCCTGAAGGGGTGTCCTCTGCCAAAGCCTCCCTCTCTATGCTGAGAAGGCTCATGACCGTTAAGTCACCCTGCTGCAATTACATGACTGGCCTCAACAAGCCTACTATTAGGGTACCACTTCCAGGGATTTATGTTCTGGTGATTAACACATCGAAGAGAAAGGTATGAAATGCACAAATAAATACACTTTTACAGAACTACAGATTTCTTCTATATTTCAGATTCATTTAACAACTCATTCTAATCTAGTCACTAATTGGTCCTGCTTCACCAAATATTTACTTACAGAAATGGTCTCAGTACATTTAGGGAAAAAAAAATCAAATCTGCATTAGTTTGCTGACATTATTGTATTTCTGTTTCTTTGCTTAGCAGATCTATTATGCAGCTATATTTGATATATTTCTCATTAAAAACAGGAAACAAAGTGTCCAAATCTTTCTCAACATTGTTTTCTCTTCTGTTTCTGTTTCTGTTTGCACAGCTCACCATGTTAAGACGGGAACTTGTGAGGTGGTGGCCCTGCACAGATGCTGTAACAAGAACAAGATAGAAGAACGGTCCCAGACGGTCAAGTGCTCCTGCTTCCCTGGACAGGTGGCAGGCACCACACGAGCTGCTCCATCTTGTGTGGATGGTGCGACTTCTTTCATTGCTCCCTGTTACAACATCGTCAGAACTGGAACCCCACTATAGTGCTGCCTACTGAAGTCACTCCCAGGGCACCACACTGTAAATCACATGGCAGAAAGACAGCTATCTGGGGGGCTGTTTTTGTGACATAAATACCTCTCGCTAGAGCTAATCTCATCTCACATAGCCCTGTTACAAAAGCATCGGTTCCAGTCAGTCAATGTGCTTCTGATATTGTTGTCATGACATAGAGATTTCCTGGTAGATGGTAGATACATAAATTACTCAGGAAATGCAAGATGGCTATAGAGGGCTGAGTAATATATGTTCAAAAACCCAGAACAGAGTTAAAAAATAACAGAAAAAAATTCAACACCATGTGCATCAATGACTGGCTGCAGACAAAATTCACATAAAATGACTTCAATGGAGATGTATGTAAATGTTGGTTTTATTGATTGATAGTTCATATTATTACAGAGATTGCAAATCTTTGTGTGAGGCTAGTAATTGTTACATTATAAACAGTAATTTTTATGTGGCCTATTTTTTGTGAGGAAATTGCTGTTTATAATAAAGAAAAAGAGAAAAACATATTAAGTCTACAAACAGTCTCCTCATTTTCAGCTTGCTCGTGGGGAGCATTTCATTGACTTTAAAATATTGATTCATCTGGGCATGGGTATAGTTTATTATGTATTTATATAAATCAGTGCAAGGTTTTTCAATATATTAGTTTGATGAAGTCTATATTTTCGCTTGAAACAACCTTCAACATAGGGAGTAAAGTTATTACTTTCTGTTGAACATTTAGAAGTTTATTATTATATATCCCATATTAGTTGTCCTTACAGTGGTAAAATAAAATTTTATATGTAAAAGAAATTCTTGAAAATACTAAATAGATTAGTTGGATCAGTGAATCTTGTCCCATGGCAGTCCCAAATAGAAATATTGAGCTAGTTTTCCTCTCTCCTTATAGCATCCATAGTGGAACAAAAATGGTGGTGTCATATGCAGCCATGCCTGGAGGGAGAGGAGTGTAAAGTCCTCCCAGATCGGAAAGGGTGGAGCTGTTCCTCTGGAAACAAAGTGAAAACAACCAGGGTAAGTGGACAGCCAGCCTGGGAGGCAAAGGACCTCCGAGTTAGTGGAGAGCAGGAAGTATACTGTGACATCTTAAGGGGAGTTTGAGAACAGAATGGTATTGCTTTATATAATGTGAATTTCCCATTAATTCATTTCTTCATAGCACATTTTTATTTCAGAATACCATCTTCTACCAAATGCCATCCACCTCCATGTTTTCTGATTCATGAACACCGTTTTCTCATAAGGTTCTGCTAGCAACATGAGTGCCCCCTACTTCCACAGACACAGCAGACAACTGCCCCCAATCCCTATTCTTCAGCTGAAGAATTATGGGAATAAATTCTAAAAGAGATTCTATATGGTTAGTTTACATATGGCTCCATATCTATTTGCAATTTAGACTCTGTCTGTATTATGAAAGGGGTTGTTTTGATTTTCCTGCGTTTTGGACAGATAACTAGTTTTCTAAGGGTAAAAGGTTGCAGTCTTTGTCATGGGTAATGGAGAGGTGATTCAGGATCAACATGAAGCAATGCTTTGGGCAGACATGAACTTCTGGTCTCAAGAGCTTCCAAGGAGATGGGAGAGGAGCGAGAAGCCATTTTATTTTTAATCTCCCATTGACTGCATGGATTTCCAGGACTGAAAGAATTTGATTTCCATTTTAAAGATAATTATATATGTGAAAGTTATATCTAATTATATATAAATTATATAGTTTTAAGAGTATAATTGAAAATTAAAATTTTATACTTTTCAATTTGTTTTGAAGGAAAGTTGGCAATTGACTAAAGTTGGATAATTGAACAATAAAATAAAATAATGGTAAAAAACTTATTAAAATCGACACCAAGCTAAATAATATTATTTACTTGACATGAAATTAAATTTTTTTCGAATATCTTCAGGTCATTATTCTATTGCTGTCATCCCAACACCTTCAGCCTTGTCAAGTAATGGCATCAACATTAACACTAGATGCACTCAGATTTGTCCATGTTTTAAATAGCACAAATAAAGAACATGCTTTGTTGTTTTGCCAGTTATTGTTGATTCTAATATGTTGGCTAAATTTTGGGAAGTATTTTTCAAACTGTGCCAAGTACATGGTCAGTTAGCTAGGATAACTCTATTATTCAGTGGGCTGGCAAAAGTTCTAACTCTTTCTGATTTGTCAATATTTTGTTGATATAAAATTTTCTTGTAAGGTATTCATTACCATGAAATTATTTCCCCCCCACACACTGTTCCTACCAAAAACAAGACTAATGGGAATTCATTAAAGATTGGAGATTCTGAAAGACATTGGCAAAATAAGTAAAGAATAAAAGTGAGCTCTCTATAGCCAGCCATTCCGTGTTTTCATTAGTTCACTGGACAAGGAGAAACTGACATTTACCAGACCCATAAACATATGCTGCACACTGAACAAGGTACTTTAAATACATTATCTAATTTACTCTGCTTAATAGCTCCACAAAGAAGATATTTTCATCTCCATTTTACTGATGAGTAAACCAATGCTTCGCAAAGTTAACTAGCTTCCCAAGGTCATAATGGTAATTAATTGAGGGACCAAGATTCAGCCACACAGCCTGATTCTCAAAATTGATCCCTTAATCTGTAACTGTAACTTAATTTTAACATATGATTTAATATATTATTAAATGATAATTATTAAATTTTCCTACAGTTCTTTTCATATGAGATAGACCTTTAAGAATATGTTTAACTTTCTGGATCACTGAAATGAAAAGGTCAAGGCAATGTTGAAATTCTCAAAAATTATTTTCTAATGGTACCATTTCTTTCCCTGTTGACCAATTCTCAATAATTCAAAATTAAAACTGAGCTTCACCTTCACAGAACTTAGTCCAATGTGTGGAAAGAGGACAGATGAAAGAATGGGTGGTTCCTGGCAGGAAAACCACGTTTAGACCCTATAGCTTTCTTTAGTAGTATGGTACTACATGCTATTAAACAATGTTTTTTTTTTCTTTTGTTCTTCACTAAGAGCATCTGGCAGTAGAGGACCTTATAGGATGTATTGTCTCCCATCATCAGTCTGAGGGTTATGTTGCCTTCATGGGATAAAAACTGGAACCAGGCAGGAAGCTGTTCAAACTCTATGTCCCTGATAGCTTTTGCGATCTGTGTAGTTGGTAGCTACAAGTGGTGGTCATAGGCAAGTGGAAGCAGACAGGAGCAGAAGCAGAGAGCCCTGACCCATCAATTCACAAAATCAAGCCAGCCTTGAGTTTCTCTGCTCGGTATCCTTGTAGCATTTTAGCATTTATCATTTAGTTTCTCCCTTTATGTCCTTCGTGAATTCTGCCACGAATGTTCCCAAATTGCTTTCCTAACTGTCAGAAAAATGTCTGTCTTCCCCTTTCCACAACTCATCTGCCACCCTGACTCCAGGGCCACCTCTGTGCTTCATGTCCATCACCATGGCTCTTCTGCCTCTGTTGTTTCTCTGTGTTACCAGCTCAACCTTCACTACTGAAAGCAGACAAGAAAAGACTGCTCAAGGAAACCCTCACATTGAGTGTGATGTAATGCCAGGGCAGAAGGCTCAGAGAATTCCCAGGCAATTCAATAAGTGAATTTACAAAGCAAGCTTATATCGTGTTTAAACCAAACACAGCCATTGATGTTTAAGTTTTGGACCAATTGCAGTCTTGTCTCTTAAGCTCAGTCATGCTAGTCCCTCTGATAGATCAATGGCTTAACTTTTCCTCTGCTAACTTAGGTGGTTACAGGGTTATTTAGAGTTCCTAGAAACTTGTGATAATGCAAAGTCTGACAGAAAAATTGCTTCATAGCACACCAATAGTGTCACTAGTGCCAGGGAAATGATCTGTGGTTGTTATGCAGTTTTCCTGAAGCATCTGAGGGCTAGCGGTTAATACTGTTGGTGACAGAAGGGAAGTCTGATTGGTTATGTTGCTCAGGGAGGCCAGGAGCCCAACAGCTGCAAATGATGGAGTTAGATTGCTCTGTGGCTTCATCATTCCTCCCTGACTGGAAAATGGACATCAGAAGTCAGGTTTACAGCAAGAACTTAGCGGACTTCCTTTTAACACTAGCTGTTGTCTGAGTTTTCTATCTTGCCAGATTCCTGCAGTCATTATGTCCCAAAGAAATCACACAGAGGTCTACATTAGTCATAAATGGATTGGCCCATTAGCTCAGGCTTCTTATTAACTCTTATAACTTATATTAGCTCATTATTCTAGTGTATGTTAGCCACATGGCTCGGTACCTTTCTCAGCGAGGCAGTCACATCTTGCTTCCTCTGCAGCTGGGTAAAGGACTGTATCGTCTTCCCAGAATTCTCCTGTTCTCATTGACCCGCCTCTACTTCCTGTCTGGTTGTCCCGCCTATACTTCCTGCCTGGCTACTGGTCAATCAATCAGCATTTATTTAAAATATAATTGACAGATTACAGACAATTGTCCCACACGAACTAGCTGTGAGTTTAACAGTGTTTATCAATGTTTAACATCTGTATAGCACCCAAGGAAGAGTTCTCATCATCTGTCCTGAATTAATACTGTTGTCGGTGCTTGGATGGAATTGCTTCTAAGATCTCAAGTGATGCTGAGACTAGGATTCTCATTATAGAAGGAAAAATAGTAAGGGAAAAGATAAAATGTCTTGAGAAAAAGGAACTTTTTGATTTATCATAGTAAATTATTTTTTCCTTTGTCTCTTTTGTAAGAAACATTTTACTTCTTAATTGATTTAGGTATATATTTTAATTTTTCTTGAACTTTAATCATTTAAAATTTTCTTTATGTGTATGGGCCTTTGTGTTGGTATATGAATATGAGTATAGATGTCTGAGAAAGCTAAAGGAGGAATGAGATCCCCTGGGACTAGAGTTACAGGAGTAGGCTCACTCACATTGGGTTCTGGGAACTGAACTCAGTTCCCAGTAAGAGCAGTGGATGCTGTTAACGACAGTCATCTCTCCAATCCTAAGGAAAAAAAAGCTTGCAAAACATGAACACACTTAGATATTTTCAATTAACTGAATACTATGATAGTCTACCTGACCTGTCAAAATACAGTATTTTGACAATACTGTACAAATACAAGTATTGATTGAACTCACAAAACAATTTGATCAAATATTGCTATACTACCATAAAAAGTCAAAGTTTTTAATATCATCAGCTTTGCCTTTTCCACTAAAACATTGTGAAAAAGTGAGAGAAGAAAGAAACACCCTTTAAATAGGTTGGGGCACAAGAGTACTACATAGAGAATGAGTAGTAGAGAGAGGTGATTCTTCCGTGTGTAAGTAGTTTTGTATTGTTACGAAGCATAAGCCTAATGCTGTCCCTGTCAACTTACCAGTCTTGAATAAGAAAGCTGGGACTACCAGAGCACAATGAAACCATTATCCCTGATTTGGCAGGTTCTGTACACAACAGGCTGCCTAGAAGAGGAGCTGGAAAAGGCTGCAAAGTAGCTTGTGAACTGCTCTTAGCCCAGAGCTATTTGGGTTTCAGAGGCAAAACATGACGGTCATATGGGATTTTCATTGCAAGCAAAATGGCTGGAGAAATGATTAAAATTTTTAGTAATGTACACCCTCCCATATAATTGCCCATATTCAATCTGGAATGCTCAGGTAAACCTCACAGTGGAAGGAGAACAGTCAGGCAAATCCAGCAGTGAGGCGTGCATGGCCTCAGCTGAAAAAAATGGCATCTTGCAGAATGGACTAGAAATCAGGGTTGGGTGAGTTCATCTGACTACTTTGGAACCTCGTTGCCCTGATCATAAATGTTAATTATACCCTGTTTCTGCCTTTATAATCCATTCAAAGAACTTTGTTGTTGTTGTTCTGACCTATTTTTTTCCCCCAGAAAGCAGGGAAGACAAGGAACAGATAGTTTTAGGCAACATCAAATTTTTGTTTTCAAACCCCTTTAGTCTGAAAAGCATAGAAAATGCAACACCTGTTTCCAAATCTTTTTTCCCCTTCTCATGCTTAAGGATA